CCTCTTTATTTTCCATCATTTGGTCTTCTATATCGCTGATTCTCTCTTCTGCCTCGTTTACCCTAGCAGTTATTGCCCCCATTTTTGATTGCACCTCATTAATAGCCTTTTTGATTTCGACTTGGTTAGATTTTAGTTCTTTTATTTCTCCAGAAAGGAAAACCTGGGATCTTCCCATGAGAAGTTTTTGAAAGCTTAGACCCAGTTTTTTTTTAATAGAAAATTTTTAAAATTTTATTATGTTAATCACCATACATCATTAGTTTTTGATGTAGTGTTCCATGATTCATTGTTTGCGTATAACACCCAGCGCTCCATGCAGTACGTGCCCTCTTTAATACCCATCACCAGGCTAACCCATCCCCCCATCCCCCTCCCCTCGAGAACCCTCAGTTTGTTTCTCAGAGTCCATAGTCTCTCAGGGTTTGTCTCCCCCTCCGATTTGCCCCCTTCATTTTCCCCTTCCTACTATCTTCTTTTTTTTAACATATAATGTATTACTTGTTTCAGGGGTACAGGTCTGTGATTCATCAGTCTTACACAATTCACAGTGCTCGCCATAGCACATACCCTCCCCAATGTCTATCACCCAGCCACCCCATCCCTCCTACCCCCCACCACTCCAGCAACCCTCAGTTTGTTTCCTGAGATTAAGAATTCCTCATATCAGTGAGGTCATATGATACATTAGACCTAGTTTTTGAAAGCTGATAACAGATATAACACAGCAGGGGGTGCTTGTGGGTAGCAGGAAAGTATGAGAGTTTGTGGTGGTCATTCTGTGAGCAAACGGTACGTGGAGTCCAGCGCAGGCTGGTGGGAAATGCAGGAGCTGCCTTTTCCATGGAGCTTCATTTGTGTTTTCTCTTCCGCCTGCAAGGTGTGTGCCTAGGGATGCAGTTGGCGGTGGTTGAATTTTCAAGAAATGTGCTGGGATGGCAAGGTAAGTGTTCATTAAAAACCTTGTTAAATCCTTGCTGAAGTGTTCCCTGGAGGGCATGAAGCCTGGCACCCACTGGGTGACTGGGGGCCCTGGAGAAGGCCAGGCCTGGCTTCGCGGTACCTTGTGGGGCACAGTAGAGGAGAAGTGCCGTGTGTACGGAGGGAAAGTTCCACCCCTCTGCGCAGACCGCAGGAAGGAGGGGTCACAGCCGAGCAGGCAGCCTGGCTTTCTGCCCCTGCATTTCCAGCTCCGGAGCTGCCCGCCTGCCCATTACCATAGCCACCATCCCTGAGCTGGCTGAGCGAGGAAACTGGCCTTGCGTGAGTCTGTGCAGTTATGAACTTGGGCCCCGGAGCTGGTCAGACCTGGGCTCAACTTCTGATTCTCCCTTATTGGGGGTGGTTTTAGATAAGTTACTTAGCCTTTCTGGGCTTCTGTGTCTTCTGTAAAATGGGGTGATAGTGGTACCTGCTTCTCATGGGTAAGAAGCGAATGAAATAAGGCATGTAAATAGTCCCAGCACGGTGCCTGGCAAGTAGGAAATTCTCTGTGCCTCGCAAACTGTCCAGGCCACCCGAAAACTCTGTGGCTTCCATCAATGTTTTAACATGTCTCAGAGTGCCGTGGGGTGAGTGGACTTGGCTGGCTGGTTTTCTGCTCCCTGTGGTGCATCTGATCATCCTGCCGTGCATTCAGCTCTGCTCAGCAGGGACCTTGAGATGGTTCTGTCCATGGAGCAAGGCTCATCATGCACTCATTCAGCCGAGACATCTCACAGTGAGGCGACCTACTGGCTTCCAAAATGACAGGCCCGGCGTGCAGGCACTTAGCAAGCTTGCTCATGTCCCAAGGCCCAGCGCAGCTGGTGGGAGAGGGGACCACACAGTGCGACTGCAGGGGCGAGGCTCATTGGGACCACCGATGGAAGAGCCCGCACAGCCCCTCTCGTCTCTGTAGCCCAGCTGACAAACACGAGGATTTCAGAAAGACCTTAGAAGTTGTAAGATAAAGAAGCCAAGCATCCTGAGGAATGTGAAAGCAGTCTGGCTCCACGAGGGATGAGTGGCTCTCCCGCGGCCAGCTTACTGTTAGGGTTGGGCTCCTTGTAGATGTTTCTGCGAGGCCGCCTCCCCCTCACCCCGAGGGCACGGGGGCCATTCTACAGGCTGCATGCCCTTTAATTCTGGCTCCTGAGCCCCTGGCAGGTGCTGTCCTAGCTGCCCGCCGCCCTAGAGCTGGCCCTCTGGGCACCCTGGACCCTCTCCCAGCCACAGCCCGTCGCCCACTCGGGTCCCCAGGTGGTTGGGGGACCTGGTGACGAACTTACCTTCAGCTGGGACCTGGGCCTGCTAAGGCCCAGGAGGGAAGGATACCGGGCCTGTCACACACAGGGAACCGGGCTGTACCAGGGACTGGGTTCTTTTCCTTTTAGTTTTTAGTGGTTTTGCTTATGGCTAGACCATAAATTCAGTAAGGGAGAGGAAGGAAGATCAGTGAATTCCTGATTGAGCTGCTGCGCGAGGCAGTTGGGCAGGGCGACACGGAAGATGCCAAGGAGGAGAGAAATGTGTTGTCCATCCTGGAGAGAGACACTCTGGAACAAGGGGAGAAATGAGACAACAGTGTACGAACTGTCATAAGGAGGCCGTATTTAAATAAAGATGATGAGGTTGTGCCACTGGTTTCAATTTCCCCATTTTGTGCGGCTTGTCTTCCAGAGAGCTCCCAGATGGAAAACATTCACCCGTGTGTGTGCATTGAGTACTTTGTATCTTAATGTTACCCCTGGTTTTTGTTGGAATCACTGAATGGTCACTTTGAATTGGGGAGGGACATTGTAGTTTAGAGCTTAGGAACGATGCTCGAAAATAATCACTGTTGTTTGTAACTATTTTCATAACATAAGTACTTCGATTTTTCAGATGCCAATTCTACAGAGTTTGACCCTAAGACCAATCATCCTGTGGTGAGTCCAGTGTTTGAACCTCATGAGGGCTTAGAAGGGCGCGGAGGGGGCATTCCTGAGAGCGCTCGGCGCTCAGACACAGGAGGGAGACGTCTCCACTGGGTCCGTCCATGGAACCCTCAGACCAGATGGGAAGAACTTTTATTTTTCATAGTGTAATTTCTCACTTCTCTTCCCAGTTTGCAACAGAAAATGTTTAAGACAGGTATCACCCCAGCCAACCAGGGTGGTTCCTGGTTAGGATAATTCTCCATCCCTGCTCCCCCTGATCCCCAGGAGTGCATAACACTGCTGGCAGGAAACACGTGGGCCCCTACTGTGCGCCAGGCGCTGCCCTCACCACTTTACAGGTCCTCGTTCATTTCGTCCCTGACACCCTGGGGAGACGGGCATGTTATTCAGGACTCGTGGAACATGGTTGTTGAACGAACACGTTTAATGGTAACTAAAGCTTGTGGAGGCCCGCATCCCTCATGTGATGTCTCCTGTCAGAGGAATGTGGCTCCTGGGGAGGGACAGCGCCTTTATTCATCTTCAGATCTCCCACCCGGGGGTGACAGGTCTGTTCTTGATACCAAAGATGCTGTGATAAACAAGGTGGACAAAGCTCTTGATCTCAGGGCATTTAAACAGCATCAGTATATGCTTGTTGACTTGAAACTGAACTCTGCTCAGACGAAGAGCTCAGAAGAGCGAAGGGTTTGAAGGGTGCAGCCTCACGGTGGTGGGAAGGCAGGGCCCAGAGACGGTCCTCGAGGCCAGGAGGTGCTCAGAGGAGCCTGGGACTGAGCTGTGCGCTGGGCTGTCGTGGCTCGGGGGCCTCAGACTCTGTGCTGCCCATACGTTCACTGAGCTCTGGCCGAGACACGGCAAACCCTGAGAAGCGTCCCTTTCCTCTGAGCAGCTCATCAGTCCAGTGGAGGAGACATGTGTTATAACCTATCCAGTCTTGCATCCGTGCTGCTGGGTTAAGTCTCCAGAACATGCTGAGGCCCAACAGCCCTCATGATCCAAAGCGCTGGGGGCAGGAATGGCCAAGGGTGGGGGCAGCTCAGAACGACAGGCTGAAGGCTTACGTCCCTACCCAACACAGTTATAAACGATGAGAGGAAGGCCTTTTCCCAGCGGCGAGCGTCTCCTCTGAGCAAGGGCTGGGGGATTAGAGCTGCGCACAGGCCCTTGTCACTCAGCGCAGGCGGTCTGTCTGCTAACGGAAGCAGAGTGTGATAGTGCGTGTTTGTTTTTTGAACACCTCCAGGTCATAGACATGCCAGAACACAATCCTGGGCAGATGGGCGGAACCATGAGGCTGGGCAAGAGGAGAACCCTGTTCCAGACCAAGAACTCGGTCATGAGTAAGAGCTGCCTGCCGCCCCCCCCCCCCACCACCTCCGCCTCCTGCACGTCTGAGACACACGTCTTGGGCTGCTGCTGGGGCTCCGAAGAGCCAGGCTGGCTTTTTGGTTTTGCTCTTGCTTTTGAGTTTTTTTCCCCTTCCTACTCGTGTCCTTTTAGGATGCGCCGTAATAGCCAAAGAAGCAGCGTGGCTCTTAGCCCACGGGCAGTGCGCTCAGGGGCCCAGGGGTCTCGGGTGCGGGCGGCTCCCGGGAAGGAGGCAGTGAGGTGCAGTCCCCCGCAGTCTGTCCTTCCCCTAGGCTGTTCGGGGGAACTGAATTAAACTGCCAGTGGTGGCAGTTGCTGTCCCCCAGAAAGGCAGTTTTGTGCGGGCCAACCTAAATTGTTTTTATTCTAAAAGTAATAGGTGCTAAAGATTAAGGGAAAATCAGGGGAAGAAAATACTTGAGAATGACTGCAGTCGGTCTCCTTCTCTCGCTCACTAGGAAAATTCTGTCTTTATATTAGCAGGGGCCCCTTGTGTCTGTCATCGTTTGAGTCAGTTGAGTAGGCGACCGTGCAGTGCTCCCAGCTCTGTGCTCTGTGGACTTGGGGACCCCCCCGGCAGCCCCTGAGCGCAGCGCTGGTGCCACGACGCTCTGGGGACCGTGACTTACCCACACAGCTCCCCCCCGCGGGCCACCTCTGCAGCTCTGGAAGTGTCTTTCTAGGTTCAGCTGTTCGATGCATCCTGGTGTGTTTTCCAGGGCAGTTCCCAGCGGAAAGTGCTTTGAATCGCAGTAATGATGCGCTTCGGGGGGCGGTGTGGAAACGTTTGTTTCTGTGACAGTTTTTTCCTGGCGTGGTCAGAAGAGTCAGAGCCTGAGGACGAGTCTACACTGCACTGCTGCGGGCAGGTGGCCCTAGTTGGCAGGAGAGCCCAGAGCCGGCCTTCAGAGGCCCGGCCGCGTCGGCGCGGGAAAGTACACTGGAAGCAGGATATGGTCGAGTAGATTCTTCCGTGAATCAGAATTGTTTGCATCAGCCTGCTTTCTTTTGCCAGGGAAACTCTACGGAGATCCAGATTACCTGGAAGAGAGGCACCGCCACAGATTTGAGGTGAGGAGTTGAGCTTAGTGACCTTTCAACTCTTCTTCTGGCGACTCTGGAAACGCAGCAAGCTGAGAGGTCAGCCAACTTACTCTTTGTGTGGCTGCAGGTGAATCCAGTCCTGAAGAAGTGTCTGGAAGAGCAGGGCCTGAAGTTCGTCGGCCAGGACGTTGGGGGAGAGAGGATGGAGATCGTGGAGCTGGAGGGTGAGTGCGGGGTGGCCATCGGGGGTGAGGGGGGCTTAGCAGGTCCGGGCGTGGGGGCCTGGGAGCGCTGACCTGACGGCCAGAGGAGGCAGCCCCCGCGCTGCTGGGGGTGCTCTTGGGGAACAGGCGCCCGGGGCCCCGGGGAGCCCATCCTCCTGCAGGCAGCGCTGTGCTTCTGGCCTTGGCTCTCATTCTCCAGAATGAGAGCTTGCCCTTGGTCCTTGAGCCCCGCTTCCGATGTGAGGAAGCCGCGGAGTAGGGCCAGCTGGGCGCGGGGACCCGGGAGAGGAGGCCCCCGTCGGCCAACAGGGCGGCAGCGTGCGGGGCGGGGCTGTCTGCTGCCCCCAGCTTTGCGGCTGTCTTTACCTGCGTTCCCATTAAGACGCTATTTTTAGATAATTTTAGGGTCTGTAGAAACGTGAAACATCTGACAGGGTTTGCTCATCTTCCGTGTTTTATGCACGTGACAAAAGTGCTGCTTTTGCGTTTGTTTCAGATCATCCCTTCTTCGTTGGGGTTCAGTACCACCCTGAGTTCCTGTCCCGGCCCATCAAGCCTTCGCCTCCGTACTTTGGCCTCCTGCTGGCCTCCGTGGGGAGGCTCCCGCATTACCTTCAGAAAGGCTGCAGGCTCTCGCCCAGGTGCGGTCACTCTTCTCTAGTCACAGCGGCTCATCACAGCGGGTGTGCTCTCCTCCCCGGGGCCCCTCGGGCTGCCTGGGTGCCACCTGGACCTTCCCCTGTGCGGGGTCCGGGCCGTCAGTACAGCACCCGGCCTCCGGGCTCGCGTGTGGCGGTGGGGTCCCTGGGGTCTGTGGGGCGCTGGCTTTCACGGCCTGGCGGCCACAGCCCCAGTGGATCCCTGCCTCGCCGCTACCTTCCTTCAGAACCAGTTCCTCACTCTGAGCTGGGGGTTGGAGTTCCAGGAGTGAAGTATAAACCGAACGTATATCTTTTCTAACTAGAAGAAGAAAATCCCTCTACAGCTCTGTGCTCAATACGTAAGGCAGGATAGCGTCTCTCTGATTCCGGCTGTGTGCAGACAAGGGTCCTGTGGTGACGGTGGCTAGGAACACGAGAGGAAAGTGGGTCTGTGGTGGGAGACGATGAATAAACCATCCGAATTCCACAGGGACACCTACAGTGACAGGAGTGGAAGCAGCTCCCCGGACTCTGAAATCACCGAATTGAAGTTCCCATCAATAAATCATGACTGATGGTAACGTAAGTGGCGTTTCTCAGCTCTAGTATCTTCGTTTGTTTGGTGATTATGCTAGAAGTGTAAGCTTTCGTGAAAGTCTGATGTTGAGAACTTTATCTGCCAGAGTAAGGTCGGTGTGGGTATCAGGTGGGTGAGGCCCCCCTGAGTTACAGTGTCGGTGCCCCCGGGCCTCGGGGCTTCAGTGCAGGGCGGAGGGGACACCAGCCACTGGGCAGTTGTCTTGTCGCTGATTGCGACATTCAGGTGCCAGTCTGACCAAACCTGGGGGAGCTGGGCTCTCAGACCCTGTTATCTCATGTAGCCATAAACTTGGAGAATCTTGAAGGAGGTGACTGGTGTGACAAAATGGTCATGTTTGCAGAAACTCAGGCTTTCGTCAGGAAGTGCTTTAAAACTGACACAACATATAACACTTATGTTGATTGCTGCTTATTCTGGAAATCCTTTAAAATCAGAATGATTATCGGGCAGACTTGGAACGTCGGTCTTTACAGTGACAGGGTTTGTATGTTCCTGACGTGAGGTGGCTGTGAGCACTGCCATAAATTACATTGAGTCCTACTGTGATAACCGAGTGAACTGTGTTCAGCTCCTGCTGGTGGGAGTACCAGCAGGGGGTTGGGGAGGGCGGTCAGGAGTCTGGGGGGTCTGAAAGGAGAACCAGGGATGTGGTGTGGTCCCATAGGTGGGGGCCCCAGCCCAGCGGGCGAGAGCTCCCGGCGTGTGGCACAGGCAGGTGACCTCCTGAGCCCTGCACACCTCGAGCTCACCAGAGGCCTCTGGGCTGCGCGACTGTGCCCTCCGGCCCTGGATGCCCAGCCGCCTGGCCTGTGGCAGCCCCCGCTGGGTGGGCGGGAGACGTGGGTTCACGCCCGGCGTGGGCAGTGGTTGTGTCCTGGCACAGATGCACTCCTCCGTCTCTCCGACCTGCTGCGGGCTGCCTGCTAGTCTGAGAAACTGCCCGAAAGAGGAGCATATGTTCCCAGTCGGGCTGGGTAGTCGGTTAAGTCCTGACCGTCCCTGCTGGCGGCCCTGTGGGGAGGCTGGGTGCACTGACAAGAACGCCGGCATTGGGGCGGGGGAAGAAGCCTCGTACGATCTGGAAAGCGTGGGATTGTGCAGGTTTTCCAGAGTTAGCTTCTAACGATCCATATTAGGCTCCTGTTACTGGTCTTCACTGGGAAGCGGACATGTTTTGCTGTAGCAGCCGACTATGAACTCTTACTTTCGTACTTGCATATACATCATATAATAGCTCTTTGTGTTTTTAAACAGGGGTGATTCTTCAAGAGAGCCTTCGGACTTTGAGAGTTTACAGCTTTGATTTTACACTCAACTTTTGACGCCTCCTTTAAATTATGTTTTTATTAAGATTATTTTATTATGGGGGAAAGGTATTTGGAAGACTTTGTGACTCGCATGTCCCCTCCTGTGTGCCGGCCCCTCCCCGGTGCCGCCCGGTGTCGACACCCCACACGGTCCCCGCGGCGCTCCGCCGAGGAGGGCGGCCTCTGGGCGGGGCTGGATGACGCACGTGCCAGGGGAGTGCCCAGCAGTCACCTCGTTTCTCCAACTACCTCCTGTCATCGTGGATTCAAGCGTGCAGCGCGTTGCTTCCCCTGCAACGCCTAGATCACAAGGCGTGTGCCCCGTGGACCGAGGAGGGATCACAGTAGCGAGTGCTGACGACACTTGGTGCTGGTAACCCGAGGGCATTGCTTGGCACCAGGAGCGGTGAAACCAGAAACAGCCCTGGCACTGCTCTGCTCTGTGGGGCCTCTCGCTGCCCGCGGTGGCGGGGACACGGTGGTGGCCAAAGGGAACGGTTGGTTTGGTGTCACATGGAATGGCGAGTAGTCTTTCTCTCGGAAGTGTGGTTTCAGGATCCCTGTCCTCTGGCCGCGAGTCCCTCCCTGGGGCTGGGAAATACTCCTTGCATCAAGGGGTTGCTTAAAAAAAAGAACAAAGTTTGGGGAAACTGCCTCTCAAAGCCTCTCCTATATAGACAGCTTTGTTCGAGGGGAGTTTGTCCTTCCAGAATGGTGTTACTGCCGTTGAAATGCAATCTGAAAAGCTATTTTCTTAACGTGGTGCAACCGTAGGCACCGCCGCGTGCCCGCTGTCGTCCGGCTGAGACCCCGTGTATACTCTAACTTAAGAAATAAATGACGCAGAACGAGACACGCCTTTGTGTGTCGGGCTCTTTATGTCGCGGCTGGGCGGGAAATGTCTCAATGCGGTCCTGGACGTGCCCGTGTCACCTCAACGGTCAGCACCTGGCTGTCCTCAGTGGGGGCGGCCCTAAGTGGATGAGCTGATTGTCTGCTTAAAAACTGAGAGGAGCCTTTCTTTTTCGTGGGAAACCGGAATTTCCCCCAAAGGCTTCAAATTTGGGTTCCCAGCATACAGAGATGCAAAGAAGCGTGGGTGCTGCTTGGTCGTGGGAAAGAGGGGAGGGCCGTGTTACTCATGGGGGTCTCTCCCTCTGCCGGGCGTGGGGGGCCCAGGAGCGGCGGACCGACGGCTGTCAGCCAGCAGGACCGCTTTATCCGCCGCTGGTCCTCCTGTCCCCCGGGCTTCTGTGTCCAGGGCAGTGTTCTGGGTGGTTTCTCCCCAGAGTGAAATCAGCACCACCGACCCTGCGCTCCTTGGGGCCTGTTGCTGCCATTGACGCCACCTGCCCTCTGGCCGCTGAGCCCACTGAGCCCGCCGAGCCCGCCTCCTCGTGAGCTGGCTCCTCCGAACAGTCCGAGGCGGAGGCTCAGGCTGGGTTTCCTGTCTGTGGCCAACCGCCTTTCCTCACTGACATTCGAGAAACCGGGTTGGGGAGAAAAATGTTTCTCAGCGTTTAGCGCAGCTCCTCCGTCAGGGAGATCGGGAGAAGCAGCGGGCTTCCCTGCGTGCCTCCGCTCACCGGCTCCAGGCCACCATCCCCGCTGGGGCCCAGAAGCGGGGGTGCCCGGCCTGACCAAGAGCAACCGCGCCACCTCTGTCTCCGACTTCTCGCGGACCGAAGTCAAGTGTGTCACTCACGGAGGTCTTCACGCCTGGCTTGGTGCTTTGGACGCGGCTGATGGGGTGGATTCTGACCCCTGTTCGCGCCTGGTGGGCTCAGTCTGAACCCTTTCTGACGTGCCCGGCGGTGGCAGCAGCACTCCCTACAACGCTGAGGGCTCGCTTGGGCTTGGGACGGTTTGCAGATGTTCCCGGGGCCTCAGCTGACCCGTTGTTAAGTGCTGGCCGTTCGGGTAACCCATGTGGAGAAGGGACTCCCCGGCTGGCTGTCCGGGGCCGGCGGAGCCTGAGCAGCCCTGTGTCCCCTGCCCCGCTGGCTGAGGCAGCGGGCACCGTGGCACTTCCACCCAGCCGGGCCGGGGCTTAGCAGCCTGGAGCAGCTCAGCGACACAGCTGTGCCTTGTCTTTGTTGCCACGGGCTGTGTCCCAGGAAGGGCACTTCTGAGGGTTGTGCTGCCTGGACCAGCCTCTAGCCTGTGCCTGGCACGTGGATGGGGCTCACAAATGGCTCCCCTCTGACTTCCTCAGCAGCACATCCTCTGTGCGGTTCTCAGGGAGCCTCTGAAAACTTGGTTCAGGCCCTGCGTTTGGGTGACCGAGGAGCCCAGCGGACGAGCAGCAGGAGTTGGGTAGTAACGTGCCACGAGACCGGCCTCCCTTACTAGCGCGGTTGGTAAGTGGGAAGAGCAAGTCTCCGAGCAGCCGAGACTGGCGCAGGAGGGGTCTCCTGGCTGACGACCCAGGGGCTGTGGTGCCAGAGTTGCTCTTTCTACTCTGGATGAGGCCAAGGACCTCTAGACCAATGACGGAGAGCAGGGCAGCACGAGTGTGTTCTGTGGCCCTCCTGTGAAATGCCCTGTTTGACCAGGTGCCACACTTTTCTGGTGGCTCGGACCCTAAGCTGGGTATTGCTTGTTTCCCCAGCAGGTTGCTGTTTCGTATCTATGACCTGCCAGCCGTGTTTTAGGTTCTGAACGTTAGCAATGAACAAAACAGACCCAAATCCCTGTCCCCGGGAGCGTGTATTCTGTGGCGCAGGGAACAGCAAGGAAAGCTACAGAGTGTAACTGACATGTGCGCCGAGGAAGGAGGCCGGAAGCAGGCAAGGGGGAGGGAGGTGTCATCTGCAGTTGGGCCGATAGGGAATTGGCTTTCCCCTCCACTTGAAGGTGGAGCCCAGAGGAAACAGCAGCCCTGCAGCTTGTGGGGGAAGCACCCAGTGCAAAGGCCCTGCGGCAGGTGTGTTCGGGAAACAACGGGTCTCTGTAGCGGGAACACCCGAGCAAGGGGCAGAGGGTCTGAGGTCAGATGGGCCAGGTTGTGCAGAATTGGGTAGCCCGCTGTTCGGACTTTGCCGCTGACGAAATGGGGAGCTCCTGCAGGGCTTTGGGTGCTAGCATGGCATGATCAGATGTTGGCTCGGGAGTGTCGGGCTCTGCCGGTGGAGATGGGGGAATCCTCACTAGTGGCTGGAGGGTGCTTGGCCTGGAGGTCCCACCCTGTGCAGGTGCCGGTGGGTGCTGGGGAGACATAGGACGTCGGTCTGATGATGATCAAGTGCCCCCGCTCCCTGTCCATTTCACTGTCTTATAGATGAAGAAGCTGAACAAAGAGGTAGCAGTTTGTCCCTCCCTCCAGGGGACCTAGTCTGTAAGGTCGAGCTGGAATGGATTGCAACTGTCGGGGCCCCCAGCTCTGTGTGGGAGGAGCCCCCGGGCTGGCTCAGCCTCCTGGACAGAGGTGGGCTGGCCATGGGACTCGGGACTCGGCTGCGTCCAAAGGGCTGATCGCGCGGCCGAGAAAGAACATCCTCGCCCCAGGTGCATGTAATTTATTCAAGAGGTGGGACAATCACAAGTTCCAGCAAGCCCAGGGTCGGGTGCCCGGTGACTGAGTGTGCCTTGCCATCAGCAGAAGGGCTTTCCCAAGAGGACACGTTCCTTTCTGGCCCGTCTCGCCGCTGGGGTCAGAGACCCCAGCCCGGGCAAAATGAGCATCTGAGGGAGTAGGGCAATCCCTCACAGCTCGGCCCTGGGATGGCTCTGGCCGAGTTTTTAGCAGTTATTTCTGGAAGTAAGATTCCTGGGGGATCAGACTAAGAGCAGTTCCTCGGCTCCGTAGCCCGGGGTCTGCTCAGGATTGAAGCCTGCCCTCGGGCTGTTGTTGAAGGAGCGTGGACGGACGCGCTCCCATCCACCTCCGAGCAGCCCAGAGGGCTTTCAGGGTGAGGATTTGGGCGCACATGGGCAGTCCTGCATCTGCCAGTGGAGCTGGCCTTCCCCGCGCCACTGTCGCCCACCCGCGCGCCGGGGCCCTCACAGGACGCAGCAGGTGCAGGAGACGGGCGCAGGCTGCTGCAGCTGCTGCCTGAGCCGCTCCTTCTCTGCCGTCAGCACCTTCAGCCTCTGCTCCAGCTTGCTCAGCTCGGCCGCCCACTTCTGCGGGCGCCACAGAGGTAGAGGTCCACGCTGGGGCTGCGGGGGGCCGCGGCCGCCCCCCCGCCCGGGGTTGAGCCGATGGAGGATGGCGAGACCCAGGAGGGCCCTGGGGGGCCTACTCGAGGCCACCGGGAGCCACATGGGCCCGGCGAGGTGCGAGCCAGGTCCCTGGCGGGGCCACCACCCCTGACAAGTCAGCCCTGGGTCCTGAGAGAAGCCGCCCGCCCGGAGGCCTGCCAGCATCCCAGACCCTGGGCTGACCCACCCTCTGGAGCCTCCTTGGGTCCCAGGGGCAGACCCGGGTGGGCCGCCACCCCGCAACGTCCTTCCCTCTCTCGCCGGCAGCCCCTTGCCCTCCTCTGCTTCTCTGCCACCTGATGTGGCCCTCTTGAAAAGGTTTTTTCTTGGGACTGTGTCCAGCACTAACTGCCTCCTCATCGTTAAGGGCCTTCCCCCAAATGCACTACAGTCTTTGGGGTGGTCTTCAGCCCTCTCCATATGCCACTCCCCCGGCTCGGCCAGCCACACGATGCCCCGGAGTGTGTGGGCTGCTTTCAGTGCAGCCTTCCCGTGTTCTGGCGGGTGATGGGGCACCGGGGGAAGCTGATGGCGTGGCCCGGACTGCGCGGTGAGGGGCCCCCAGCCGGCGGCTCACCTGCCTGCACCACTCCTGGATGGCGTGGCCGGACAGCGGGCCCTGGATGCTCCCATCCCGCCGAAGGAACACCTCCCCCTGGTCGGTCTCGTAGAGCTGCGGCTCGGCCTGGGCCCTGGGGGCATGCACGCTCAGGCGGATCACCTTGGTAAGGGCGACAGCGGCTCTGGCAGGCACCGCGGCCCCCCCACATCCCGGGGCTCCCTCCTGGGGGGGCTCCCGGACCAGCCTGGGGGCGGGGCTTCCAGCCTCTCCTCCCATCACTCTCTCCGGTTCCCTTCACCCCCGTCCCCACCCAGCCCTGCTCGGCAGAGTGGAGGGCCCTCCCTCGTTGCGGGGGTGGGGGGTGGACAAGACAGACTCCGAGACCTTCCTGGCGGCGCCCCACCTTGAGCGGCGTGCTGGAGGCGGAGGTGCTGACCACCGGGATGAAGGAGAGTGTGTAGGCGTCGGGGAAGACCTGGGGCTGGAAGCCCTGCAGGATGGAGTCCACCAGCAGGCGTACGCGGTCCTCGTCGTGGTGGCTGCAGCGCACGCCCTGCACCAGGCCGCTGTCCTCGACGCCCACGAACAGGCTGCCGCCCTCACTGTTGAGGAAGGCGCACACGTAGCGCCGCAGGTGGTGCTTGAAGGCCAGGCTTAGGTACTCGCCGCCACCGCGCTTGAACTCCACGCTGCGTGTCTCGTTGCCCAGGAAGGCGCCCTGGAAGAGGCGCTCCTGGCCCATGATCTCCTGGTGCACGATGGCGCTGTCGGAGCGCGTGCCACCCGGCTGGCCCCGGGACCTCCGCAGGGTCCGCCCTGGGGTGCCGTGGGTGGGTCTGGGGTTGGGGCGGGGGCTCGGGCCGCTGTCCTTCTCCTGCTGGGGCGAGGGCTGAGAGTCAGAAGCCCCGAGCCTGGCAGCGAGAGGGACGGGACACCCCCTTCTGCCCGGGGGAGCCCAGCCGCTCAGGCGTCCTGATGCGCCCCCCCCCCCCAGTGGAGGGGCCTAATTCTGCCCACCGTCCTGTAGCCAGGGCGGGGAAACCCGCTGGGGCAAGGGTTTGCACCGCCACTGCTCCTTCCTGCGGGGCTGGGGGATGCGTGGTAGGTACGATGAGCTCTCCTTCCTGGGGCTGGGAGCTGGAACTGCTGTGGCCGATGTCTTCCCACTTAGTTACAGACGGGCCTCTGAGGCCCAGGGCCAGATCACAACAGGAGATACCTCCGCAGCCTGAGGTCCCCTGTGACAGGTCTCTGAATTGTGAGGGGGGATCCCAGAAACCCTCCCCCCTTCCTGGTCTCCCTGAAACACCTGCCTGTCACTTTCTGGACCACTGACCAGTCCTCCTGAATCTCAGCCCTCCTCTAGCCCTCCTGAGACCCCTTCCATGGTTTCTGCTCTGTTCCAGGGCTCTGCGCATGAGCAGGCTCATGGCCACTGGCCGAGTCTGGGCCTCGCGCGGCCTCCCTACCTCCAGACTCCTCCCATCCCATCCCCCCTCCTCGCTGACCCTGGCTCCTTGCTGCCTTCCGGTCTCCAGCAGTGGTTTCCGGGGCCGGCAGCACAGTGGGGGCTGGGGCATGGTGGTGAGGGGCACGTCCCTACCAGCCCCGCGGCTCCCAGACAAGACAGTTTATCATAAACATGAGGAAACTGTCACACAAACACGAAGTCAGGCTCACAAAGCTGTTCAGTTCCACAACAATCGAAACACCACAGAGTTCTCATCCCAAAAGAAAAGGAAAACCAAGACCATCTGTCTCACGGAGTGTCCTACCTTAGCCACAGTGAGTTGATGCTCCCTCCCATCCCCCATAAAGGCCACCACCCCCCACAGCCTCCCTGCTCTGCTTTCGTCTTGCGGCCCTTGGGGGCCCGGATCCTGCCCTATGGCCCAGCTTTCTTCCTTAGCTCCTCAGCCTTCAGCTGGAGCTCCAGGGGCACCAAATGGCTTGCTCTTTTGCAAATGGGACATTGCCCCTCACCGTGTCCTGCTGCCTAGAACGTCCTTCCACCCCCCAAATCCCAGCTGGGATTTCCGTTCTGTGAAATTGCCCCCACAGCCCGCAGCTCGGCGACTGGCTGTGTCTGGCCCTGCTCCGCGGTATGAGGGCTCCTGGAGGGCAGGGCCCAGCCCTTGCTGCCTTACGGCCTGGCCTGGAGCGGGCCCCGCTGGCGGTCAACTGCAGGAAGGAGGTGGGCCGAGGAGAAAACACGTGTCCCCTCAGGCCCGGGCTGGCCCAGACCCAGAGGATGGAATGCAGAAGGACCCCGGGGCAGGGGGTGGGGTGTGGGGAGGTCCCACACCGTGGCCTCTCTTCACAGGCTTCCAGGCTGGAGGCAAACCGTAAGTGCCGCTCCTCCTGGGAGTCCGCCAGTCTGCAGAGCTGTTCCCGGCTCCTCGAAGACACACCGCCAGTCCCCCGCCCTGCGCCCCAGCACAGCCTGGCTGCGCCCAGGCTTCTCCTGCCCCACGAGGCTCCGGGCAAGCCTCACTTACCGCCTGGCGGCTCCAGGGCCCCGGGCCCTCAGCCAGCACCAGCTCCTTGCCACGGGCCGCCAGCTCCTCGGGGATCTGGTGCTCCTCCAGGGCTGTCTGCAGGCGCCAGGGGAGGGAGGCCAGTGTGGCCTCGTGGGCGGCCACCTGCACCAGTGCACAGGCCTTCCGTGGGCGCCTCACCACCTCGATGTGCTCGCGTGCCACCGGCAGCTCCAGCCGCTCCAGGGCGTCCCGTAGCAGGCACGTGAGCACAGGCACTGAGAACTGGGGGTTCAGGTGGCCCACATAGAGAATGTGCGTGCTGGGTGCTGTCTGGAGGCCCGAGTCCTCAGGCGGGGACTCTTCCCCGGGGGGCTCTTGCGGGGGCTGCTTGCCTGGGGGCTCCATGAGGGGCTCCTGCACCTGGATTTGCCGTGATCTCTTCCTGGGGGGGGGGGCGGTCTCTGGAGAGGTCTCTCTCAGAAGGGCTTCTGGGATGTTCCTCCCAGGGCCTCCCAGGGTCTCAGGGGCTGCCGAGGCAGGGGCTGGGCAAGGGCCAGAGAGAGGGAGGGACGGTAGAGGGCCAGCTGAAAGGGGCCTGCCACCCACCCAAGGCCTAGGACAGGAAAGAGGGGAGTCAGACAGCGCTGAGGCAGACAACAGGGCGTGTGGGCCTGCCCCTCCATTCCACAGAAGGGAAGACCGAGGGGGTGTGCCTCAAGAGGGGCAGAGGGGCCCCTCAGACTCTGCTCTGAGGGCCCCGCCGCATCCCTTTCTGGGCCGCAGGCCTCCTGTCCTCCCCCCACCAGGCTACAGGCGGGAGGAAAAGCTGCGGATTTCCTGCCCATCAGAGATGACTGCTGCCTCCCGGCCCCAGGGGAACCTTTTCAAGGGGCCTTTGGAGAGGAAGCCATCACCCGGGGCTCCTCCCCGGCAGCTCCGAAGCTGGGGTGAGCCTTGCCGAGGCTGTGAACCAGTCAGGGCTGCGCCTGAGGGTTTTAGGGCAGAGGCTCCCTAAGTTTCAGCCCTTCCCCACAAATGGCCTCCGAACATGCACAGCTAATTTGAGGGGGCTCGTGGCCTGGTCTAGACGAAGTCCAGAGAGAAGAGAGGAGGGGCAGAGCCGGGGTTCCTAAGTACGCCCCCTCCCGCCAGGCCGGGGGCCTCATGCCTGAGCTGTGCACCTTTGGTACCCAGCAGCCCCTCCACTCACCCCCGCACACCCGGCCTCCGCTCTGTGGGGCGGCTGCCACCGGCCTGCATCTTTTCAGATTGGCTCCTTGAGACAGTCAGGGCCTGGGGACCAGCACTGCCGGGGTGGGGGCATTCGGGACAATCAGGAACAGGGGGAAGAGGGAGGCCTATGACCCTCATGTCCTGATGGTTCCCGGGGGGAGCGTGGGAGGTGCCAGCCCTCAGCTCCCACAGACCGCTGACCCCTGGCCAGCAGCTCCCCGGGGGCACTTGGGGGCCTGGCAAGGGGCAGCCAGAACCAGAGCTGCCCCTTGCCTGGGGAGGTGGGCGGGGCCTGTGCAACCCCCTCTGTGATCTCACGGGAGTCAACAATGCCGGGGTGGAAAGTCAGGAAAACTCCCCCATTCCCATCCCCATCCCCAAGGTAGGGACACTACGTACACCACAGCTTGGCTATGTGGCTCCCTCTGGGCCGCTCCCGGGGTCCCGGGGCCAAGGACATACTTCCTCCTCCTGTAATGTCTCTCCTGGCCCCCATGCCCACGCAGGTCCTCTGCAGTCCCCACCTTCCCCTTCCGTCCCCGGCCCCAGGCTCGGCTGAGCGCCGCCAGCCCAGCCGCTCCCGGCATGAATCAGGGCGCACACAGCGGGCAGCAGGCCCTGCTCGGCGCCGGGGCGGAGGTTCCTGGCCAGAAGAGCCCTGAGCACTCGGTCAAGAGCTGCCATCCCTTTTCAAGCACAGGGCTGTCACCTGCTGTCTGACAGGGACCAGGACATGGGTGAGGACTGAGCTCAGCCACTGTGTGGGAGAGGTCAGGACAGCAAACTCTGGAACTCAGGGGAGAAGTGGTGTGGACGCAGCCTTTGCCATCTGGGCCCCATGGGGCTCCTGTCTTGAGCCCTCGCCTGGTGTATGGCCATCTGCCTGTTGATTCTCGCCTACCTCTGACAAGGTCCAGCCCCAGCCACCCACAGGTGTCTCGGGTCCCGTGTCTTTACACTGGGACTTGTCAGCTGTGGGCTCTTGGAAGCACCCGCAGCGGCTTTGGTGTCGCAGGCCAGGCATAAATGCAGTCGTGACACTTGGCCGTCATGGCCCCTGGACTGGAGGTTTCCAGCTGTAGAACTTCCCGGATGAATGGGGCGACTTGGGGTATTAGGGTAAGGAGGTGCAAAAAGCGGAGGGATGATGAGGGGAGGGGTGTCTGGGCTCTCCAAGGCAAGAAGTTTCTCCAAGTTTTTAGCTTTGGTTGCAGGAGGAGGGGGGAGCCACCTTCCAGCTCTTCGTGAGGAGGGATCGTGGCATCCATGTGAGGGCAGACACCGTGTCCACGTGGACCACCAGAGCCACGACCCACAGAAATCTCAGGTTATTTCACAAAGATGCCAACAAGGAGGCTGTGGAGGCTCCAGTCTGACAAGGCAGAGGTGACAGGGACTACCTGGCCGGCAGCAGGGAGGGTGCAGATGGTGCCTAGGTAGAGCCTCGACTCTTCTGTCATCTCAAGCACACGGGCTTCCTGATGCTCCTCAGTGCTGGGAGTCAATGTCCTCTCCTTGTTACAGTATTGAGGGGGGGGCACGTGAAGCTGGTGCCAGGGGGCCTCTGGCCCCCAGTCCCAGATGCCTTCCCATTTTGTGGGGGGCTGGACTGTTGGGGTTCACGGAGTGGTCTCCCCTGCACCTCGGCTGGTGTGCACGGGCCTGCCGAGGCCCCTTCAGCTTCTCTGGATGACTGTGGGTCACTATTAGAAGGCTTGGCTTTGAGAAATAATTTCAAAAGTGTTTTTTTTTTTCCTCCTGAGAAGACATTCAGTTCTGTCCCCAGAGATTAGGGCAGTAAGAGTGAAGGGGTAACAAATCCTCTCCCCTCCTACAGAACCTGACATTTAGTTACCTTTCTAGTTCTGTTCCCTTGGAAACCAGATAAAAGTGGAATGTCAACTGTTTCAGGGCGATGTTGCTTAGGGTAAGAATGAACCCGAATTGTAAATTATCTGGACAGGGAACATCTGCGTAAAAGCCACAGCTCTGGGCCTCCTTAGTGCAGAGGGTCAATGGGGCACGTCCCTTGCAGGGATCTGGAAGTGATGTCCACGGGGTCGTTATGCCTACAAACTAGGGAGTTACTGCTCCCCCGGGGCATGGTGCTGCGAAGCCAAGGTGAACCCCACTGCTCCCTGACACGTCCCATCCCCTTGCACCCGAGCTGTCACCTGGATGGTGGTGGGCTCTGCAGGGACTAGCCCGCCAAAGAGGACTGCTTCATGCTGTCCTGCTGGCAGGTGTTTCCGTCTGACAGCCGTCAAGGTGAATGCCACCCCCAGGCTAGCCTGTGGAAGTCTGAATGGTCAGCAGGATCTGGGACAGCGGCCCCCTGGAGGGTGTTACAGGCACCCCTGATTAGCTATGGAGTTTTGGAGCAAGTACCTCAACTCTCTCCAAGCTTTAGTTTTCCCCCTTGGAAAAGGCGGGGCTGAGGTTTACATGAGAGAATGCACATAACTCCGCACAAGCTGGGAAACTGTATGCTCTTGGTGACAAGGGGGATGCTGACTGACTCCACAAGCACAGCCCTGCAGTGTGTCTGGCCTGCCTCCACGTGCTGGTGTTACCTTCAGTCCCTGCGTCTGTCTCTTGGGTAAGGATCACATCCGGAAGTTCATTGTCAGGGTTCCCTAAGGCCCTCTTTGGGAGTACCGTGAATGAGCCGCACAGCCTACCACACCCTAGTGTCCAGGAGTCTATGGAGAACAGAGTCCTGCTCTGGTTTGGCAGCCCTGACCCAGACTGCATCATGGGGACCGTGGTGAGAACCTCACAGGGGTCAAGTGCAAAAGATGTTACCAATTAGTCACCAAGGTGGCACCAGCCAGGGTGAGAGCTGGTAGGGCCCTCAGAAGTCTCCTCATCTGAAACCCTCATGGCCACATGAGCCCAAAGAAGGGAAATGACCCACCCAAAGCCTCACAGTAAATAGTTAGACTGACTAGCACCTCCACGTTGGCCTTGGGTGTCAGAGGACCTGGCTTCAAACGCCTGCTTTGGTGCTTTCTGGGAGGCGACCTTACATGTCCTCATCTATCAAACGGGTTTGCTGTGAAGATTTAAAGGCTGACTCTAATTCCTGTGGAGTAGTTCATGGGGCCCGCAGTGACACGACAGTGTCCGTTACACCTTCTCCTGCAGCCCCAGCAGAACTGAGGCTGTGTGGCGCTGGCCTGGAGTATCTGGCCCCAGGTTGGCGCAAGCTGGGCGAGCCTGCGTCTCTCCTCACCCCATGACGACGGTGACAAGGATGAACCCAGCCATGGAGGCTCTAGGAGCTGCTGACCCAACTACTGCTCTTCCTGCTTGGGCTTCGAGCAGCTTCCGTGCTCCCTGCTGTCTCGCTGCACCAGAGCACAGCCCTCTGAGGGCAGAGAACGGACTCCACACTGCTTCCCAGTGGGCATCTGGCAGCCAGCCTACTTTTTAGGGACTGCTGGAATCAGAAGAACTCTTGGGGATCACCCTGTCTACACACCTCCTTTAAGGATGAGGAAACTAGGGCCAAGAAAGGGGAGTGTTCTGTCGACTGATTAAAACCACACTGGCATCTATATTGGTTTTTATTTATAAACAAACTGACATAAAAGAAGTCCGGATGGCAGTGGGGCAGCTGTGCTGCTGACTTGCTTATAAAGGAAGCATCTGGACAGTGGAGAGGGTACAACCAGATTCCAGCCTGCAGACCCTTCCCTCCCATCCACCTTATGGCCTTCGTGGCCTAGAATTACGGGGCCTAACCTCCTTTGGCAGTAGTTCTGGCCAGGGCAAGGAGTTGTGGTGGGGGACAGTGTGGGGCAGGGGACTCCCATTCCCACAGATGAGGCCCGGGGCTGCAAAGGGTCCAGTGGAGGAAGAGGGGAAGGTGACAGGAACCCTCTCCTCCCCATGCTGAGTGATATGGTCAAGGCTTGAAGGATGTGTCCATCCCACAGAGAAAGTGCCCTCGGGTGACGTCCTTGGAAAGGGCCCATGCCTCTCTGGGACCAGGGCAGGGCAGTCTCTCTCCTCCTGAAACCCAGTGTCTGGAGTGAGAGGAGTATGAACTGGGGGGCTTGCCATTGTGCCAGAAACAATAAACAGTAAGAAAAGATCTTTTTTTTTTTTAAAAAAAAGGTAGAGGTTTGCACCATGAGTTTGGAGTCTGGAGCTCTTGTGAGGAGGTGGCAGGAGCTGCGGGGAAGTGGGGTGCCACACCAGGCCCAGCAGGTGGCAGGGGGACTGGGCCCAAGGGTCAATTCAGGGCCCTATCCTCTAAGGCCTCAGGGGTCAGCCCCTTCCTCCATCACCTGAAAGGTGTTCAGTCTAAACGCCCAGTGGGAGGCCAACCAGGCTTGAGAAATAAATACAGAGGGACCTCAGAGCCGAGGCAGGGCTGAGGGGAAGAGCAGCGCCAGCCCTGGGCCCCACACTCTCCCCTCCTCAGTCCTTCATGGAAGGACATATCATGGCAGGAGCGGGGAGCAGTGGTGGCTCCACACAGCCTCCCGAGTCCTGAGGTGGCCCGGAATCCACTGAGGCGCCGGCAGTGGGCTGCTTGGCCCCCCCTTCCGGTGGACCCCTCAGGTGTCTAGGCTGCGTCTCCCGGTTCAGAACTTGCCCTGCTTCAGCCGGTCAATGTGGAAGGAGAGCTTGAGCGCGGGCCCCAGCTTCAGCCCCATGTACTTCATCATCATGTCGCTGCGCAGCAGGAGCAGGGCCTTGCCGTCAATCTCCTGGGGGGCGGGGGGAGGGGCCGTCAGAGGCCTGGCTGCTCTGGCCACCAGGTTCTGCGCCACTAAAGCCTACCTGCTCCCCACAGCTTCCGTGGCCGCCGTCCCCCAACATCTACTACCGAGCCCAGCAGGTGCTCTTCCCAGCACCCGTCCTGCTCTCCTTTCCCTGCCGCCTGAGGCGGTGGCTCCACCCTCCAACCACGGAGGTCCGGCTGTGTTCCATCTCTTCCAATAAGCACCCCCCAACCATGTGCTCGTCCCCTCTCCCAGACTGGTTTATACTGATCCCCAACTGTTACCCCATAAGTCATCTTCCTTCCCGAGGGGCCAGGGCCCCTCTGTGTGAGCCAGGCTCAGAATAGCTGTGAGATCTTTAGGCTTGACCCAAGAGCACCCCCAAACCCACCAGCATGAAAGACTGAAATGATCCATGAAAGGCAGCAGATCTGTTCTGAGTGCCCAAAGGGCAGAAGAGCACCAAGCAATAGGGGCTGCGGGGAAATGGGTTTGCACCCCAAATCAGGAGTATGGTCACCACAGGCGGATCAGAAACAGTGCCAGGCCACCCAGCCAAATGGTCACTTGAAGAGATGTTGGAGGTTCACAGAAGAGCAAGGACAAGATAGGGGGCTGATGCGGCTGAAGAGTAGGAGCCACCTGGCTGGGGACTCTAAGTTGGGCTGAGGCCCCCGATTCTCAGGCCAAGGCAGGCAAATGGGAGAGCAAACACGTCTAGGAAAAGAGAAGAATCCTTCCCCTGGGCCCGAGCCCACCAGCCATGGCACCCAGCAGGCATGTGACTGAGTCAGACCTACACTACAGGAGTGGGCTGAACTCAGTGCCCAACGAGGGCAGCTTGAGACCCAAGATTCTGTCTCTGCTTTCAGGATGTCTCCTGTGCTCAGTTTCAAGGGACCTTTAAGAGTCTACAAGTTTCAGAAGCAAGACTCCCCGTGGACATGAGAGAGGTCAGGAAGGGGCACCTACGTGTTTTCGAAAGAGGTCAGCGTGGGGTCCAAGCTGAGGATCAGCTTCCCGGACAAACTGCATCACGTCCTCCACTGTCCATGAGGAGGGGTCCCGGCCACTCAGTCGAGAGGCATCCCGGCTTTCCAGGTATCGGTCCGACCCTGCAGGACAGGAGGGAACCTGCTGTAACGGGTGGGGACTGGTTTGTCCCGCCCCACCACTCTCCTTGGTGTGTCCCCATGGCCCTACTGGTGAGGCTCACAGCAGTGCCAGAGCAGAGAACTGGAGGTGGCCAAGGGAGGGAAGGGTTCTTCCACAAAGGGATCAGGGTCTGAGACTCTTCTCAAGTCAAATCTTTGTTCTTTAAGAGTAGATCTGATTCTGGAGAGGGTCCGAAGAATTTCACAGTAAGGCTGTGGCTCTGCCTGGACCTGAGTCAGTGGTAACAATGAGTAAGGGGATGACATGGGTTCAGTGGGGGCCTGGGGGGCTTGCCCTCGTGCCAGAAACAATAAACAATAAGAAAAGATCTTTTTTTTTTTTTTTTTTAAAGGTAGAGGTTTGCACCATGAGTTTGGAGTCTGGAGCTCTTGTGAGGAGGTGGCAGGAGCTGTGGGGTAAGGCTGCTTTTGCCTTGGCTCTGGGGACCATTTTTAGAGAGACTTTGGGAGATGGGCAAGAATAGAGCCAAATCCTTGGGGTCTAGGGAGAAAAAAAGTGGTGGATAATACCCTGTACCTCTTCCAAGGCCTGGAGAGAAGCTAACCTTGGGACAGCCTCATGCACAGAGGCAGAAAACAGTTTTGCCTGGGCTGCCAGGAATCTCAGTGTTAATTTAGTGCTCGGCTTAGAGCTTTTATCTCGATCTTGGCTCAAATACAATTCCTCCCATTCCCCCTGTGGGATCTGGGCTCTCTGAAATCTGAACTCCTTACCGTGCATGGTCTAGAAGGTACTCTATCATCTGGCCCTGTCTCCCTTTGACTGAATCTCAACCCCTGCCCCCACCCTTTCCTCACCATGCTCCAGACACACTAGCTTGCTTTCTGCTTCTTGAATAGGCTATGCTTTATTCTTTGACCTTCAATCTCCTCCGTTCTTTTCCCAGGGCTTTGCGTATCTGATTCCTTCTCAATATTTATTTCAAATATCAATTCCTCAGAGACCTTCACTGACCTCCTATAAAAGTACTCCATTGCCCACAGAGCTACTCTCAATCTAATTACTCTCCCCTTTTCCCAACACATATCACTACCTAAAATAATTTCATATATTTATGTTTATTGTCTGTATTCTCCTATTTTCTGCCCTGCTATTTGCTTGTGATATTGTGGTTTTTAATAAGAAACATACATATGTGGTCTTTGTCCTGTTTCTGGCACAGAACTCCTAAAATTCTTGGAATTTCCCAAATGGTGAGAGAAATAAAGGGGTCTTTTGTTATTTATAACAAGCCCTTTTCAACCACACCTGAGTATGGTCCCGAGGTGACTTCTGGAAAGCCCCTGAGGATGGGGGCTGGTTGCCAACCTTCCTGGGAAGGAGAGTCTCCAATGACTTCATCAATCATGCCTATATAATAAAGGTTCCATAAAAAAACAAAAGGATGGGTTTTGGAGAGCCCCCGGCTGGTGAGCACACGGAGGTGTGGGGGGCGCGGCACCCCTGGACAGGGCGTGGAAGCCCGTGCCCACCCCTCCAGGCCTTGCCCTGGGCATCTCTTCCATCTGGCTGTTCCTGAATTATACCCTTTCGTAAAAAGCTGGTAACCTAGTAAGTGACCATTTTCCTGAGTGAACCCAAGGAGGGGATCATGGGAACCCTTGACTGCCAGCCAGTCAGAAGCACAGGTGACAACCTAGACCTTCGACTGTCACATCTGAAGTGGTGTGTGGGTGGGGGCGGGGCAGGCTGGTGGGATGTGATGCTCTCTCCAGAGCCGGTCAGGATGGAGTAAGTTATCGGCCCCCCAGGGGGTGTGGCACAGTGGCTCGGGATGTGGAGGAGCCGCACGTCTGGTGTCCGGGTGAGGTCCTGTTGAGTAGAGTACTGGGCGTAGGGGAGACACCCCAGGAGGGGGGCAGGATTTTCCTTTCACAGTCCCCAACACGCAAAAGATGCCTGGTCTGCTACAGATGTTCGAACAGGTTCGTTCACTGAATGAAGGATCACACACTAGTTACTTGTGTATTTTTCCATCTCGAGGCAGGGACCTTGCCTTGCTCCTGTCTGTATGCTCACCACTCAGGAGATGCCAGGTGCACAGCCGAGGGGTGGGCTGAAACACACCTACGAAAGCAGAAGGGTGTACTCTTCAGCTATCTCTGGCAGAGGCTAAAAATCTCCTCCATTTCCCTTCACCCTGGGTCCCAGGTCTAAAAGTCGAAGCACGCTTGGCTTGGCCTGGCCCTGCTCCTGGGGAAGAGACTCCAGCATGTTACACCTCAGACTTAGAGTTGGGCACTGACCAGATAAGGGGAGAAGTTGCTGGAGTAAGCAGGGTGCTTACAGCCACAGAAATTCCAACGGCTTTTTAGAGATGCTGGCAGACAGGAAGTTGGAGAGGGCTCTGTGAGCCAGCCACTTCTCTGGGCCCTAACAGTCCAGCGTGACGCTGACAGAGAAACCAGCTGCTGGGACAATGGAGAGCAGAGAGAAGCTATGCTCATGGGTGTGTCCTCAGCCCATCTCAGCCGCTTCCTTGACCCAGGGGAGCCAGGAATCAAACACACGCACGATGATATTTTATATGTCTATATCTACATATCTATTATATATCTAGATGTATCTATCTATATATATGTATTTATGAGTTTGTCAGCTTTCTTCTCTTAGAACACATACCCCAGGAGGGCAGGCGGCAGGTCGGGAGAGACACCTCTGAAATGGTGACACTTGAGCAAAGACCCTGAGGCAGAAGAGTGACTGGCACGTGTAAGGTGAGACCAGGAGGCCGGCATGCCAGAGAGGAGCAAACGAGGAGGGAGGGGCAGGGGACAGCATCTGAGAGGGGGGTGTGTGGCGGGGCGGGGGGCATGGGACAGAGGACCTCGTAGGCCACTGAAAAACCACTGACTTTTCTGTGCGGTAGGTCCATTTTGAGCAGAGGAGTGACTCGAACCACTTTCCAGCAGAAAGAATCACTCTCAGAGTCTGTGTTGATAACAGACTTAGACTCTGGACGAGGGCAGAAGGGAGACCAGTCCGCTGCCATCATGGTCCAAGCAAGAGACGGCTGTGGCACACACCAGGTGGCAGTGTGAGCGTGGGGAAGGGGGGGTCTGGCATGTGAACATTATAAAGGAACCCCCCTCCCCCATCAGCTTGTTTGCCCCTTAAAACAGCCCTTCTATTTTTAGCCCTTCAACTTTTAGACCTAGGACCCAGGGTGAAGGGAAATGGAGGAGATTTTTAGCCTTTGCCAGAGATAGCTGAAGAGTACACCCTTCTGCTTTCGTAGGCATACAGACAGGAGCAACCAGCCATCTAAGGAAGTAGCATCATCTTCGGTTGAGAGATGAGGGAACTGAGGCCCAGAGAAGTGAGGTGACTTTCCCAGGATCACACAGCTAGGAAGAAGACAAGTTAGTGCCCTGAGTCTGACTTTTCCTATCTCTGTTTCCGCACACAGTCTATACCAAGACTCTCCCCCACCATCCCATGAGGGCAGCTGGTGGTTACTCCTCAAGGAAGGCGAGGGTCTCAGTCCGAGAATGACTAACGCAGGTGAGGCTCATCTAAGGCAGGAGGCCAGACTAACAAACTGATGCCCACTCATCCTCCATTAATGAAATGAGAGGACAGACTCAACAGCTGAATACTTTGAGCGAAACAATTCTAGTGCCAAACAGATAGAATCCTTCGTAGCCCTATGAGGTTCTTCAGGATCAAGAGATTTAGACCAGGACCTGGCCAACAGACCCACGCATTCCAGAGGGAGAGAGGAGGTGCCCCGGAAGCAACAGTGGCCCTGAGGCCAGTGCTGCACGAGGCAGCGGTCAAGAAGCACTCCTAACAGAGAGGGCCTTGGGAGACAGGACAGGGACAGTAACACCCTCATACCTGGGGAATGACTCAGCTTCCCAAATGACCCCCTATCCCTGCTTCCATCTGAGCCTTGTCACACTCCTGTGAAAACCCCAGGCCAATATCACCACGCCCCCCGTGCACAAGGGGAGTGTGGGGGCCTGAATGTTGAGAGGAGACTCGAGGCAGGGAATCACCTCACAGCTCTGCCCAGACTGCAGAGCTCCCGACGCCCCACGCTGCCTTGCTGGGGTGAGGGCCAGGGAAGGGTTTCCTGGTCTCTTCCCACCCTCTCCTCCTGCTCAGTATCCCTGAAAATGGTCTCTCCCGAGGCCATCTCTCTCCACTGCAGGCCTTGTCAATGGACTCTTCTTCTCATTCCACAGCCTGGGGCTGGGGGAGGCCATAGCATGCTGTGGAGGTGGCATTCTCCTGTCTCTCCATGGCTGCTTCTAGGCCATTCTCCTACGAGGGCTCATGTTCTTCAGAGGCCAAATATGTCCCCAGCCATCTGCTCTTGCTGATCACCGTTGCCTACAGACCTCTGGGCTTCTACCCCTTGTTAAATGAAGACCGTGTGGTACGTCGGTCACTGCTTTGTGCTCCAGCCACGTCCTGTCATTATCCTCAGAGGCACACACCAGTCAGCCACCAGCCTCCAGGGACCTTCACCTCCACTCTACTTCAAATACCTCCTGCCAAGGCCACTGTCTGCTTCTTGCCATCACTTGGAACAAATCCGCTTCAGAAATGTAAACATCCCTTTCTCTGACCACAACCTCCCATCTCAGCAACTGCCCTGGACATAAGTCCACTAAACCCATCACCACACAGAGAGATTTAGCACATCAGACTTACAACCTCCCCCATCCTTCAGCCTTGCTTCTTCCCCGCCCTGTCCAAATCCAGTGCTGACGACCTAAACAGCTGTCCCCCCAGCTCCACCGCTCCTTCGCATGCTCCCCCGCCCCTGGCCCTCTTGCCCTTTTAGCTCCACAGAAAACTTTAATTCTCAGACAGTCTTTTCTCACCCCACATCTAGGTTTCTGAGAACCACAGAAGAAGACCACGTCTCTTGCAGACTGGCAAACTAGGCTCCAAGCACAGCTGGGCCTTCTCCTCACCCCACTTCCCCATCTTCTCTCGACCAGTGCACTCTGGGAGCACCCCCACGCCCTTCCCCTACTCGGCCCTCTCTCCTTTCACTCATGGCCACCGTCAGTCTTCCCTCCAGTCCCCGAGAACAAGCCTTAAGACGGATCCATCTTTCTGTGCCCTTGGCCGTAACCCTTCCCACCACAGCCACACCTTACTCTCTCCTCTCCCCGACATTCTTCATCTCTTCTCCTCGGAAGGCTCAGCTGTGTTTATCTGACGATCGACACGCCCAGTGTGCTCCTGCTCTTGAAGACCTTCTTTTGAAGGTCACTGGTTTTCTTTTTCTCAAACCGCCCCGACGCCCCACCATGCGATCTGTCCTCATCACCTCCTACCTCCACCGGAGCTGCGCTTGCTGAGGTCATCAGTTACCCACTATTCACCACATCCCACGGACAGTCGTCAGGCCTCATTTTACCAAACCTCTGTTGTGCTGCACTCTCCTTAAAATACTCTCTGTAATCCTGGCCACCACAATACCAGATTCAGTTTTGCCTCACATTTGACCACTCCTTTGTCTCCTTCTGGGATCCTCTTCCTGGTCCCACCTCCTGAACTTTGTTGGTCCTCAGAACTCCATCTTTGGTCAATTGTTCTTTTCCTTCTACATATACACTCCTGGTCATTCAGCCTATAGCTTCAACTACCATCTATATGCTGATGACTCCCAAATGTTTATCTTCAGCTCAGTCCTCTTCCCTGAGAATCAGCCCTGCAGAGCCAGGGCCTGCTGGGTATCACCGAGATGGCCCAGGGTCTCCTTGCCCTTCTTTCTCCTCTATGGTTGGTCCCCTCTCTCAGCGAATGGTACTACCATCTCCCCTACCACTCCACCTAGAAACTGAGGAGACATTCCTGCTCCCTTCCCTCTCACAATCCTCAAATCTGATTAAATTTGCCTCATGAATATTTTTTTAACTGATTCACTCTTCTGTAAACCTTCTACCACTATCCCAATCCAGGTCTTTATCTGTTCTGGTTTAGCCCACTCTACAACCTCCTAACTGGTCTCTCTGGTCTGTCCTTCCTCAGATGCATCCTCAACACAGTAGTCAATGATCTACTCAAAACGCACACCTGTTTAGGTCTCACCTCTAATTAAAAGCCTTCAGCAGCTTCACAATGCCTGCAGGATCCACTCCAAACTCTATCATGGCATTTGGGTCATCTGTGAAGTAGCCCCTGACCTTTCCAGGCTGTTTTGTTTGAAGTCCCAGTACGACATTTTATGTTCAGCAATAGCAAAGTCAACAACAGCAAAGTACATGCAGTTCCATGCACACCATCTGTACCAGTTCTTATCTTTGCCCTTTTTCCTGCTGTGCTCTCTTCCTGGAGAGCTCTCCCTCCCCTACGATCCCCAATATTGCCACTCATATGGTCAGGCTTTTGAATTGCAGACAGGGTGTCACTTCCTCAAGGAAGCTTCCCCTGGACCCCAAGCTTGGGTTAGGTGTTCCTTCTTGCCGTTTTTATACCACCCAAAGCATATCTTTTCATACCACCCAAACCATCCAAGATGACGGTATACGATTACGTGTTGATGTTTCTCTCTCCCATAGGACTGTGAGCTCCCTGCGGACAAGAAGTGATTGATTTTTGCCTCCGCATGCCAAACGTAGGTGGTGTTCAAATAAATGGCTGATAAAGAATGGGTGTGTCCTTCCCTGTCCCTTTGGCTCTAGGCCTTTGGCTCTCAGTTTCCACTATTCTCAAGCCAATCCCAGAGCTTCATTTGCCTCTTGGGTGCCTAGCCAGACACAAATGTAAGTCTAGACCCCAGTCCAACTCCCAGGCCGGGGGCAAGCGGAGCTCACCGAGGAGGGAAGGAAAGAGTGAGGGAGGGTGGGAGAACTTGGGTAAGCTTACCCCCGGAGCACAGCCTCCTCACAGCTGAGGCGGTACTCAGCGGGAGGCCACAGGATGGAACCAACGGCCGGTACCCGTGGGTTCGAAGGTTTTGGGAGCTGCTGACAAGGTTGGTGGGATTCAAGGTAGAGTCCATTGAGTCTGAGTGTGGCTCCAAAGACCGGGTCAGACTATTCCCCAGGACAAAGCTTTCACCTGGAAAAGAGTAAAACCAGAGTTAGAGCAGGAACTAGCCTGGAAGGACTGCCAGGGCGCTGGCCTCCCAGGTACCTATTCGGATCGAGCAAGAGGCAGCAAAACAGAGCCCTGGGCTGTGTCTCAGGAGGCCTGTGTACAAGTCATGGTTCTTGCTTTTACTAGGTGGCCTTGGTCAAGCCCAATGCCACTCTCTGGGCTTGGATCTCCTTAGAGACTCTTCCTTTTAGACTAGATAGTCTTTGAGGTTTCTTCTGGTCTGGATGTCTTTTGCTTTTTCTGGATAAGGAAAACCTTAAAACAAATAGAGCTATTTTAGGAAGAGGCTGCCTCCCTGTACACAAGATGCCAGCCCAGGGTACAGGAGTGCTGGAGAAGAGATACACTTGCTTAGATGAGGATCCTTTAGAGGGTGACCCTCTAGCAGGACATTTCAGAAATGCTCTTCAGTGTCTGGCTAAAGGCCTGTCTCTGAAGGGTCTGCTCCTATGTTCCCTCCCTCCTTTTGTATTTGCCTCATTCAACAGAAACACCCCAAGGAAGCCAGGCTTGTACAGTGGTGAGAGCGGGGCCAGGGACACCAGACTCAGAGTTAGAACTCAGCTCTGGCACTCAGTAGGCAAGGTGCTTCTCCAGGAACCACACTGTCCTCAGTTGGAACCCGGGACGCCCCTGTCTTCTGAGGCCCCACACCAGGCAGTCCCTGATAGAACACTCCAGAACCTGAAGCAGGCTCCCTCTCATGACTGGGCTCTGCCCGCACCGGGTTAGTTCCCCAGCCCTGGTCACAGCATCTCTGCCTGTGGAGTGCGTCTTGGCTCCTGGGCCACACCACCATCCTTCGCGGTTGTTCTTAGAGGTTGGCTGTTGAGGTAATGATGGGACTCACTTAGGGCCTATGATCAACACTACAGTCAAGCACACTG